TGGCCTGGAAAGAAGAGGGGCCACAGGGGTCTAGATCACTTCTCAGTAGTCAGTTTTCACTTAAGAGAGAAAGAAAGAAAGAACAAACAAGTAAATCTAAAAATGCACCTACATGCAAAGGGAACAAACGTTTTGAGTTTTTGACTAAGAAAGTCAATGGGAGAAGAGAATTGTTAGTTCCAGGAAACCTTTGGTCATTGATCTTGGAGTATTGATGTTGAAATGCATGTGGGAACACTTGTATCTCAGATCATATGGGAACGTAGACGAGTCTATCACGGGTGCGGGACCTTTCTTGGTTGGCAGTTTACAATAATTCTCTTTCGCATTTTGCTTGTGTTGTTGACTGCCTCGTTGACCTCTTGACTCCAGTTGTGTGCACTAGCATGTTTTGTTAAACTCACTCGCCAGAAATTGTTAGGGAAGCATTATTAAAAGTGCCAAAATAAATTTTTTTAAAAAATACTTTCTAAAATCAACGGTCAAGTCGCTTTTGCGATCAATTCCACAATTATTATTTGCTCGTGTTAGAAAGCAACCGATCAATGGTCAGATGGCGAAATTGCAATAATATTATTAATTCCGTATAATTGCTCTTGCGTTGATTACGTGCATGTGTCGACGTTGTATCACTGCAAGTGTTTTAACGATCAACGATTTGTTTATTCAGACCAATACGAGTTTATTAGGTTAAGAAACAACTTTGCCGTATTTATTGTTTCAAATATTCGCATGTGGAAGGAGGAATTGTAAGTATAAAATTCTGAATTCAAAACCTCCCACTTATTGATAAAAAACTTCATATTGTACAATAGAAGTCCGTAATTAATTGGCATCAAGTGACTTGAATTTTTAAAATGCTAAAGTAAAACAAAACTATATAGCCAATAATTGGATTTCTCGATTATGAAAATAACCAATGTGGAGAAGTAATCATGAGACAGCCATCCATGCAAATTGTAAATAATTCCTCTTTTTCTCTTCAAGTTTCTTTTCTTTTTTCTTTTTAAAAATTCTCCGTTTGTTTGCTGGTGATTTACAAAGGGAAAATAGCAACATGACTGTCCGTAACTTAGAATACGGACAAATGCTGACCGTTCATCCATGTCGACGGGAAAACGACTACCCATCACATCGTCATCATCCTCCTCCTCCTCATTCTTCAGCCACCAGTGAACTCCTTCTCTGCCACCATGTAAGTACCAACAATCCCAACTACAAAATTTTCCTATTAATTCAGCCCATCTATAAGCGGCCTCCAACAAACTGAAATTGACATGATATTTTATTTGAAACACCCAATTTTTATTTGCATCTTTTGCTGTAAAAGAGGATGCGATGGTTAGGAGAAATCGAGTAAAGGCCGGGGCTAATTGCCAGTTGCTAGCGAACAGCTCAGTCAACCACTCAACTCAAACTCGGTTTGATTGAATTCGAGCTCGAGTAGCTCTAGTGGGACGGGGATGCAAGTCAAGTTTTGAGTTCGAATATATGGTGCTTAAATTCGACAAGCTACTCATCGAGTATTTTTATAATTTTTTTTTCCTTAGACTTTTGACGTTAGTTAATTAAACCTAATCTCAGATTTAACCCCAAAAGCCGGCAACTCTTGAGGCAAACCTGGGGACTTAACTATCCAACACCCCAACCCCAAAGAATCGATGTGGGACTACGGGAAAGTGAGTAGGGAAACTTCTACTAGGCCTTAACGATGTGGGAGTATTTTTATAATTTAAATAATATATATTTTTAAATATGAAATTATCACTAAGGATATATGCTTTCAAATAATTTACAAGATGATTTGCGTACTTAATAAAATTCTTTAATGGCAAAAAGGTAATAGAATTTGAAATAAATATAATTCAATTTCATTCTCTAGGTTTCGAGCTTAAATGCACAAAAATGGGGTTTGATCGAGCTTCTATGCTTGAAAGCAGCATCAGTACTCGAGCTCGATATGGCTCGTTTTTTCCTTGAGCCATATCGAGTCGAGTTCGAGTTTTTTTATCATTTTACCTAGTTGAATTCGATCGAGTAGGGTGTCAATAGTGTTCGAACCAAGTTCGACTATAGCACTATTTGAACTCGACTCGACTCATGTCCCTTCCTAGTAAAGGCTACATGGAGCAATTGCCGCAGATGACCTGCGAGTGGTAACGACGGACAGCAGTGAATAGGTTACACGACTTTTGCTTTGATTGGACCAATTGCTGCCGGTTGTATAAAAGGCTAATGTTGCTTTGCCCTTTTTTATTTTTATATGTTGGAAGATGAATAGCCAACGATAACTAATTTTAAGTTAATATTAATAATAGGCTCTTTTACAAATTATAATTATAAAAGACTCTTATGAAAAGATTAAAAAAATAGTAGCATTTACCGATTATAACAAGCATAGTAACTCTAAATGTCACGGACATATGTGATGATACTACTATTCTTTAAAAAAAAAAAATTGCTAGCTGGTGAGGCTGCCTAGTGTTTTGGAATAACAAATTCATCTGTTAATTCCCCTCGGTAGCCCAGAGTAATTGGGTTGCCCTGTCTATATTGGAATCCATGACCAGTAAGGTCCCCTCAAGCCAGACTTTTGGACGACAAATACAGACTCGTTCATGGAATAAAAGTTAAACGTGCAGTTGGGCTTTTAGCCCCCCAAGCAACCCAACAAAAGAAAAGGTTAGTTTTTTTAATGTTTATATATCAAAAGGAGAGATAATTGTCAGTAAATTCCAACTTTTCCATTTTCTTTTTTTTTTAAAATTTTTTTTGGGTATCAACATCCCAACTTATTTTGGATGTTACATTTAGAGCTAAAACATGACTAAGGTTATTTAATTATTGATTGGATCCCTCCAAGTTTTATTTATTTTTTGTAATATTACACTAACTCTAGATTGTGACATTATTATTACAAACGCATTACTAATCAGCAGCATTATAAATTAATCTATAAACTGTCGGATGATTAAACGTCACCGATAAGTTTATTAATAATCACTCATAAGCTGATTGAAAAATTTTTTGAGCAGTAATTTCATCAGTAATTGAGCTTGTCGAGCATCAACTTTGATAGAATGAATACTGGTGAAACGCCACCAGAGAGCTGGGCATTGGAAGGGATGAATTTGAGCTAGACCTTTTCTTTGCCTCATATGGATGCTTAAGCAATATTAATTCCAAGGGATAATTTCAGAAACCTCCCCTGAGGTTTCTGACAATTTCACTGACCTCCCCTGAGGTTTCCACAATTGCACTGACCTCCCCTGGCAGAACTTGGGACCCAATTGCTGACATCATATAATGCAAAATTACTATTATACCCAAGACATTTTGTGTTATTATAGGACTAAAATATGATAAGGCAGATGGTGTTTTTGGATAGTATTGGATTGCATTTCTATTTATTTAATGTATGGTTATGAAATTTGTAATGATATTACTCTTGGATTGCAGCTTTGGTTTGCACCTTATTACTGTTAATGTTTTATAAATGACTGTTTTAGTTCTTGGATTACACCTTACCTCCAAAATTTGGGAATTTACCCAAATTTTCCATTTTCTAATATTCCTACAAATATGCAAAATTATGCATATCCCTCAAATCTACCCAATATTAATGTTTTGTTAAACTCTAAATAACAAAAATATGAAATATAATATTTAAATATATTTTAATACACACAAGTTGGACGGGTAACTAGTGTGTCAGAGAGTTGACATAATCTCCTTAAACCCGCATGCGGGTTTAAAGAGTATTCGGATATTCTCATATGCACCTATGCAAATCGAACCAACCGGATATCTTATCCGTATCCCATTTTTTTAAATAAAAATCTTATAAATTTGAAAAATAAAATCAAATTTAGATGTATTAGGGTTTTAAAAATATTATATAAGTGATAAAAATTTTATAAATTGTAAAAATAAAATCAAATTTAAATAATTAAATGTTATATTTGCATAAGAAATAATACAATAATCATAATAATGATAATACAATAATATTGGTGTAATAAAACTGCCATTAATTTAAATATTTACTTATAATGCCCAAAGAGCCTAATTACCAATTTTTTCTTCTCGCGCTCAAATATAACATTAACCCGCATGCGAGCTAACCTTGAAATAGAAAAAACACAGAATCCCGCTTGCGGGTTTCAACGTTATTATGCAGGCGGGATTTTAACCTGCTTGCTTGTGAACATGTACCACATTGCTTTGAATTTTTGTGACAAGAGGAAAGCTTTGTCTGATGAATGTATTTGTGAAATGACCTGAGTGGTGGTAGATGGGTTAATTGGGTCGGTTGCGTTACCCAATTGTTTATATCCATAAGTAAAATTTTATGATTCCCATACCCATCCCCTCACTTTTTCTTATTTATTTCTGATTTTTATTAGTTTTCATTAATTCACTAATATAACTTGTACACCTACCTTAAGGGCATTTATGGGAACAAAATTTCCTCTCTTTCCTGAAAACACTTTTTTATGTTTACTTTTGTGGTCATGGGCTGATTTTGTTACAAAATCAGAAACCTCAAGGGAGGTTAGTGTAATTGTGGAAACCTCAGGGGAGGTCAGTGAAATTGTCAGAAACCTCAGGGGAGGTTTCTGAAATTATCCCTAATTCCAACTAGGAAATTCTTGTGTTACTTTGAGATGACACATTCCATTCATTCATTCACCATTTACTTGAACCTCATGCGGTTGAATTTGCCAAATTGGACTAAGAAAATCACCAAACTCAGAGGAGGAAGAAAAAACCAGGATTAATTAACATCCTCATTTCATGTTTTCCAACTATACAGTTCTTATAGAAAGACTAGATCAAGATCGAATGCAATTAATTTCTTCAACACTATTAAGATAAATTTTTTATAATAACAGTCTCGATCGATCTAAATGCATGACACATAATTCATACTTGAATTTCTCGTCTCGTACACATAATATTAATAACATGCAACCAAATCAGTCCAAGTGTAACAAAAATTTTGCAATGACAGTAGTGTAAAATTCATTGACAGATATAGAATTATAGGTGTGTTACATAGATGTGAGAATACATTGCCCTGGTCATCCATTGAACATCATTCACTTCTGCTAAAAATTCATGGATTTCGTCATCAAATTGCCCTGCTCAGATGAAATCCATCATTTCCCAATCTCCAAAAAAAAAAAAAAAATGAAAGAGCATCAGCATCACTAGAATATATCGAGAATCTCAAGAATTGAACGATTGCACAAGGGACAGAGCCCTCGGTTGAACCACAACTCCCTTGAGCACACCCGGCAAAAAGTGTGCCCACATGGTATGAAAGCTGCGCCTTTTTTCCTTCCCATGCACACGCAGCACACTGAATCAGAACCCGCTCCTTTCTCCTCTTTCTCCCAGTCCCCATAATCATAACCGTCCGTCTCTTCAAGCAGTGTCATCAACGACACCCTGAACGGCGTCCCACCAGCAGCCACACCGTTAGCTACCCCATCAGCCTCAGTCATGGGCCTCATTGGGCTTGGACTTAAACCCACCAATTCTTGGGCCGCCCTGAATTGCCTTTCTGCCGCCAGAGCTGCAGCCAAGTTCATCCCGGAAGTTGCCGGGACACAATCGGCGCACGCCGCCGTTGACCCATTTTCCGGCGAAGCATGACCGACGTCTATCACCTCAATTTCCCGCTGCCGTTCACCTCCTCCCTCAGCCTCCCCACCATCATCTCTCACACTAACGCTACTATGAGTATGAGCAGGTCCAAGACCCCACGTGGCCCCACAACAGCTGAACCCCTTCAATCCCAACCGTTCAGTTATACTCTTCCTTCTGACCATGCGATCAGAAGCATCCATTCTTTCCCTCAAGAACTCCACCAACGTAATCGTAGCTCCTCGCTCTCCTCCCTGTATTCTTCCCTGAAATCCAAAGCCCAACATTATTATTTATTGCCCGTTCTTCAATTTCAAGAAATCTTGAATGAGGATGGCAAGAATCGAATCCTCCTTCAAAAACAAGAAATACACATCTTTCTCGTCGCGTCTGAGCATCCAATTCTTGTTCTAAGCTGACAAATGGAAACTATTGTGCTCTTTTACCAACTAGGCTCTTTATTTTCTTTTGCTGACGTAAAAATAAGCAAAAATACACATTCATGCATGAATGCAGCAAGGAACTACTCTATACATATATATATATATATATATATATATATATATATATGGAAAGAGAGAAGGGATAGAGTAAACGTACAAGAAATGGATGAATGGAGGGGTTAGAGCATTAAATCCTCGTGAGTCGAATCAAGAATGAGAAGCCCCACAAAGTACAAAGGCCACCACCACCTCCTCTTCTGTGAATAATATGTATGTATGTGATGGAGTTCACAGGGGAAGAAAGTGACTTGACATAAATGATGGCGGTTTTGGGTTTAGCGGATTGTGTGAAACAGAATTGAGAGAGAAGTCAATTACTCAAATGAGGTGGGGTTTTTTCTGTTGAATCGTTTATGATGTCATTGACAGCTCCGCCATAGAAAAAGGGAGGAGAAAAAATGGAGAGAGAGGGAGAAGGAGAGAGCGTCCCGTTTTTTATCTTCAGAATCTTTGAAGAAGTGAACAAAAGACAAAAAAAAGAAGAAGAAGTTACTTAAAGGCAGCGAAAAGAGAATATAATTGGTTGGTCTTCTTGGCTTATCGGTCGGGGAGAGTTTTCTGCTACTTTTCCTTGTTGGTTTAAGTAACCTTTCTTTGGCTTAATTTTTTTTTAAAGGATTCGTTGGCTTAATTTTTAACTATTAATCTTTTTTATACTGACAGTATACACTGTCAACATTAAATGAATGATAACTATATAAAATTTAAATTTAAAATTCAATTTTTATACACATGTCATGAATATAACAGTGATAATATATACGCTATCAGTACATATAAGATTTACTCAACTTTTAATGACATAACAAACAGTGCTAGGAAGACTAATAAGTTGGAAATCATAGAGCAGGGGTGTTTAATGGTATAATTAATCCTACGTATTATCCTAGTTGGTTTGGAGTTTGGAGTTGGAATAATGTATAATAATGAGGATTTTAATATTGAAGTTGTTGCAATAATTTTTTTTGGTTGATGAGATAAGAGAAAACAGTTGTTTTGTTTTTGTTGGTGGCCGCGCCGGCCGAAGAAGTGGCCCATAACGATGGCAAGAAAGTTCATGGGAAGCAGGCTCACTCTCCGAGGTTTACCCATATGGCATTTGCTTCAACTTGAGAACTGGCCACATTTGGGATTAAAGGAAATAAATTGCCTATATTGGACGGACTGCTTCAACTATTATTAGTACTTCCCAAAGAATTAAAAGACAGATTTTTACTACTACATGTTTCTGTTTTGGAATGAAAGAATTAGAACAGTTCTAATTTTCTTTTTGGAAAAAAAAAAAAAAGAGATTCTAAACCTCATAATAATTCTAAACGGATTTGCATTCGTGAGATTTTGTGTGAATGCATGTTCTGGTCAAAAAATGAGAATCTTGGCGATCGGCCAGCGGAGGCAAAAATTGATATCTATGGTTCTCCTTCTAAGCTTTTGACTGGAAATTTGCAAGCATGTAGATTGTAGGTGTAGTTATACTTGTACCCTAATAATGATTCTCAAACTTCTCCAAATTCTTTAATCAAACTGCCTTGAATTTGTGTCTTGCTTAACTCCCAAATCACTTCCCATGTTCCTTTAGCCCAATTTACTATTGTGAATTTGTGTTTTCATTTTTTTTTATTGAACTTTAAAGGGAGGAAAAATGAAAATGAATGAGAAGAATAAAAGATAAGTGGATTAAGGGGCATGATTTTAATGCTAAAATTTCTTAGATATAGAAATTGGGATTTCAGGGAAAGATGAAATTAGAACTTGGATGGAGAGAAGAGACGAGTGGAAGTTGGGGAAATAAATAGCAGTAGTGATGATAGGGCTATTTAGAGAGGGCAAATGCTCAAGAACAACTTTCTAAATTCGAATTGACATTTGACATTTTTACTACCTATTTTCATAATTTTTTTCCTCCATAAAAAGTTTTTTGCCTTAATTTTTTAATAGGATGAGTTCCATTCTTTTATGAGGATATTATAGTCATTTAAATTATGAAGGAAAATTAGAACGGTGGTAGGTCAAATTATCAGAAATCTCGAAGAGTTTCTTAAATTATCCGTTCTAACTAACTAATACTAATACCTTTGCACCGGTCAAAATCCACCTTAAAAGATCAAATAATACATGCAATAACAGCTGAGGACTCAAAAAATATGTACTAACTAAATCATGTTATCCGCAGAGTGACCCATAATAATCATTTCTAACATTTAAATCAAACGGGACATAAGTAGGTCACCTGTGACTTGTTAAAGAAAAGTATATATATATATTTCTGATCCTTTCATCTTTATTAGTTTTTGTTATCTTGATAATTAATCTCTATACCGCTGTGCCGTGCCATCATACCCATACTACAATTTTAAATCAGATTAATCTTGGACGGTTAGGGTATGAGTAATCATTGAGCAACCTAACACAAAGAAATACCATAATTGATTTGCGAGTCCACGACTTCGAATGTCATGAGACACGTACCCCAGGCATCAAATTATTTAGTCCAGTCAACTTTCCCTTTCAATCGAGCTGATCATTTTGCCCTCAATCGAGTATCGATATAACCTTAGCTTTTCATTGCTTTTGCTAAATATCACTAAATCCGAACGCGGAATGTTCAACCAAAAAGGTGCAACAATAAATGGCTCGTTATGAAGTAAAGAGGCCATCCTTCGAGACTCGGTTTAGACTTTAGAATTTTTACAAGATGGTTTAGTCACAAGCAACCCATATGATGTTAGTTTAAGGTGTAAGTTAAGGATTCAAACTTTTTCAACTAAGGCCTGATTGATAATTTAGTTTAACACTTAAATTTAATGAATTCAGATCTTAACATATTCAGATCATTTGATAATCAAAAATTGAACATTTAAATTAATTAAGTGATACTCAAATTTCTAAATAAAACTTGCTTTCAAAATTAAGTGATAAACTATTCACTTATCGCCGAATGTGATATGTACTCAAATGTATTAGATTTAATACTTAACAATTCAATAATTTAATAAATTCAAATTTCTGTTTTATCAAATGCGCCCTAAACCTAGAAAAAGTATAGTAGTACATTCCTCTAATTTAAAGATCATGAATTTCTCTTTGTTTAGTCTCTTTAACCCGGTTAAGTCTCATCCTAGTATAAAATCTTTGATCCAGTTGAAAAAAAAAAAATCCTCCCATAATATAGGCTAACGGAAAGAAATTAATAGCATCATATGCATCCACAGGTTGAACATCAAGGCTTTTCAATCACCCCGTGAAGGTGAAGACTGAAGACTCAGGAAAAGTACACACTATTCGATTAAAGCACAAGATGCAAGTAGCCCATAGATTTAATCAATATTCAAGTTAAACACCCTTTTATTAACATATATAGCTAAATGTGTGAATGCCATTCCCTCAAATTGAACTCAATTGCTGATGTGGCGCTCTCCCATTGGTCAATTGGTGGTAGTCCTCCAATTGATTCCAATTTGATGAGTTGTCGTTCTCTGATTCGTCGATTGGTGGTAGTCCTCCCAATTGCATATGAAATTGATGAAGTGGCGAGTTTTGATTGGATGAAAAGTGGTAGTTCTCTAATTGCATATAGGATTGTACTAAAATTTTGCTTCTTTCTTTTTTATCCAACAAATCACATTAACAAAAAAATTGGATTCCTTTTTTTTGTTGTCCATCAAATCACATCTAATTACCATTCTTTGCACTTAATTGTTAATAGCTAATTTAATGTCATGTTTTTTGTCATACAACAAATCACGTTTAATTAACAATTTTTTTGCAATTATTAGCAAAAAATTGACTTCTTTTTTGTGGTGGCCCAAAAACCACCTTTAATTATCAAATTTTTTTCTGGCTGTCCAACAAATCACATCTAATTACCAAATTTTTGCAATTAATTGTTAATAACTAATTAATAATGTCAAGTTTTTGGTCACCCAACAAATCATGTTTAATAACAGTTGTTTGGAATTATTAAAAAATTGGCTTCTTTTTTTGTGGTTGCACAAAAAATGCATTTAATTATAAATTTTTTTCAAATGTCATAAAAAATGTCCTCTTTTATTTTGGGTTGTACAACAAATTATAGTTAATTATCAATTTTTTGCAATTAATTGTTAATTAATTAATTAATTAGAAATTTCACTTTCTATTGCCTAATAAATAACATTTAATTGCTAGCCTTTTGCAATTATTAACACTTTTTTTCTGTTGCTAAATGAACCACATCTAATTACCAACTTTTGCAATCAATTGATAATTTTTTTTGGAAGTGAATTGTCACTTTTTATTGCCTAGCATATAACATTTAATTACTAGCTTTTTGTAATTATTACCTCTTTTTTTGGTTACCAAATAAATCCCAATTATTTGTCAACTTTTTTGCGATTAATTGTTGATCTACTTATTACCTTTGGAAGTCTTTTATATTGAAGAACTTTTTACCTTTGGAACTTTTTTTTGCATATGGTTTGAGGATTTATGGGTCTTTTGCCCTTTTTACTTTTGATCAATCAAACGGCATCGTATGCTGATGGATCTTCAATCCTTTTTCTTCCGCTTTTCTCTCTCTCTCTCTCAGTCAAACGCACAACTATCAGTCAGTGTCAAGAACTCTTGAAGACCGATCCCTATTGCTGTTATCCTCCAGACAAAATTCCATCTTCGTGAGACCCATAGTTCTCCCCTGAATTTCTGGCATTTGATTGTACTTGAAACAGGTTGTAATCTCAATTGGGGTCCAAATTTTTTTTCTTCTGACAGAGTTGATGGACGATGGGCTCAAGAATGCAAAGCGACTGGTAATCTTCCTCTCCTCCCTTTGTCGATTTATCCCTCCTGTTCTCCTTCATCTCCCTCTCTCCATACCTCAAGTAATTATAGCTGATTTTTTCTATTTCTCTGCCATTTTGCCTGATATTTCCTTGGCTAAAAACAATCAATTCTTCCCCCTTCTTTTTTTTTTGGTCCTTTTCTGAAACAACGAGGAAGTGAAAGGTTAATATTTCATCTCTACTGTCTATATGAATTTGTAGAATACAGATATGGTATTTTTCTTCCCCTTTCTTTCCATGGTTAACGTCTTTGTTTCGTTTCAGTTTTATCATTAAATTTTTATTTTTAGTTTCAACAAAAACCTTTTAATATGGTCGGAGATGGTGAATAATTGATGATTAGCTGGCTTGTAGATATTTATTTACTTTATTTTTTGTACCTACTTGGTGTTTTATTGTCCCATTTTTCTTTCCATTTTTGCCTTTCTTGGATTTCTTCTGCAACAGGGAGGAAAATTGGCCACCCGTGAAAGACAACTGCTGAGGGGAAAAACGTAAGCTTTGTTCTATCATTCTAATTTAATTTTTACTTTAAATTGCTCTTTTCAGAGCTCAAATGATGGTATACTTTTCTTTGGCCTTTGGTCTTTTCAAACCTCGTTTGAGTTTTCTTTTTAGTCA